GGGGGCCGAGGGCAGCCCGCCCCGGGCAGAGGGCCGCGACGGCTGAACTAGTCTTTTTTTAAAAAAGAAGAAGAAAAAGTGTGTGTGTGTGAGTGTGTGTGTACCGTCAAATTGGATCTGACTGGTACAGGAGACTGCCCCTCCTTCTCCAGCAGAGCATGAAGTAGAGTCTGGGTTTTCCCCCCGCCCAGGTGCCTGTCGGGGCCTGGGTTTCAGCTGTCCACACCACAGCAGTGGGCAACGAGCTTAAAGCCCCTGATGGCTCTGGGCGCTGACTCTCACCAGTGGCTATGGATGAAGTCACAGGCGATTTTCAGCCAGCGCCGGTCTTTTTTTTTATTTTGTGTGTGTGTACCATCAAATTGGATCTGACTGGTGTAGGAGGAGGTTGCCCCTCCTTCTCCAGCAGAGCATCTGGTGGATTTGAACCACATACCTCTGGGATTGCAGGGCAGCTTTTTGCCACTAGGCCACCAGAGCTCCCTTTCCTTCCAGATATTTTTAGTACTATTAAGAAGGGACACACAGAAGGGTTGGCTTGACCTTCTTCAGCTTTTATTTTTGTGTGATTTTAGTGACAGTATAGGAAGGTCGGGTTTTCTGTCATTTGTTGGTGCATCCCTCCCCCTCCCCCCGATCTTCATCAGCGAGCGGAAATCTCCTGGGAGACAGGGTGTTGGGTGTGGGAGGACCTCTGCTTTTTGAGATCTTCCATTGTGCTCATCTCACAACAATCCAATGAGATACTATTGTTGTCATCATCTCGTGGGTGGAAAAGAAGAGGGAGGATCAGAGATGTTGAGTGACTTTCTAGAAGACACACAGCCAGCAAATGGAGCGGAGAGTGTGTGAACTCAACCTGAGTCTGGGTTGGTGGGTTCAGGAGGGTCCTCAAGTCTGGGGTCACCCCACCTTCTGAGGTGTCAGGGGCCTGAGGGAGGATGGACAGTGGGATCAAGAGCTGTCCAGCCTGCTCTTGTCATGGGGTCAGCCTTGCTGTCCCTCCACCCAAAGCAGTGACCTTGCCGGTTGGTCTGTCCCAGGCCCGCTACGTCCAGGCCAAGCTGAGCGTGCACGACCGCTCCCTCAAGGTGGCCACCGTGATTGAGAGCCTGGAGATGGAGATGGAGCTGCTATGCTTGACAGGCGTGGAGGACCAGCTGCAGGCGGACGTGAGGCCCACGCTTGAGACCCTGCGGAACGCCGGCATCAAGGTAGGCTCCCTGGAGAGGTCGACCGGATGTTCCATCAGCAAAGTGGGGAAGTTTGAGGTGGTGGAGCGAGTGAGAGGGGGAAGAGGTGGAGCCTGCGTGATCAGCGGCTTTTAGCCCTGTGTGGCCCAGTCGGCCTCCCACGCTGCGGCTCTCCTGGGCTGGTCATTACCGCAGGTGTCTAGTTCATCTGCTCACCTGTGCTGTCTCCCTCCCTGCACTTGGCTCCACGAAGATGAGACTCACACCCACCTTCTCCTTCAGCCGTAAGCAGTGTGCAAATCTGAGGGTGTTCCGTGTAGAACTGGTGGCTGCTGCCTGTCAGGCTGGCTGGCTGACTGACCATCCAGCATTGTGACCAGCTGGGCCAGTACACTGCCTCATCTGCCCTGTGTTCACTGCTGCCCACCCCCCCATCTATAACCAGGGCTGTTGTTTCAGGGGTTCATCCAGGCTTTATGGCTCCAGAAAGTCCAGACGTCAGAGAATTTGAGATTCTGTTCTGCACTTCCCCCCTTTTGGTCAGGATTTCACTACAGGATCCCTGATTAAAGGTTCAGTTAGGCAACATTCAGCTCTTCTTGACAGTGAAGAAAGCATAAACTTTAAACCAATAATATCATCTCAAGTCTTCTTTAATGCAAGAAATAGCTTAACTAGTACAAGAAAATGCCCCTTTGGAGCATTGTGCCCTTTCATTAACTATCTAGAGGCATCAGATTTGAAGCAGCAACTCAAAAATAGAAAAGAAACTCAGGGAACAGTGAGTATGTGTTCTTGGGGGAGGGGACAGTCCTGAAAAGGAGGCTGAGGATGCTGGCAGGATTGAGAAACATCATCGATGCTACCGAATCATACCTGGAAAAACACTGAGAAGATTGATGTGTATACAGGTTTCTGCTGCTGTTGTTGTTATGTGCCGTCGAGTTGCCTGTGACTCATAGCGACCCTATGTACAACAGCCCTAAACCCTGCTCTGTCCTGTGCCACTCGCACTGTCTTTGATACACTCATCCAGATTACTCCGGTCACTGAATCAATCCACCTCATAGAGGATCTTTCTCCCCTGTGCTGTCCCTCCACCCTCCCAAGCATGATGTCCTTGCAACATGTCCAAAGTATGTCAGACGAAGCCTCAGAATCCTTGCCTCCAAGGAGCAACCTGGTTTAACCCTCTCAAGGGTGAACCTGTTCAGTTTCTTAGCAGTCCATGGTACATTCAGTACGCTTCTCCAACACCATAGCTCAAAGGCATCAATTCTCCTTCTGTCATCCCTAGTTGTTGTCCAGCTCTCTGATGCATAACAAGTGATAGCAAAGACCATGGCCTGTATCAGATGCACCTTAGTCTCCAGAGAGACACCATTGCTCTTACCCTGGAGAGGTCCCTAACAGCCGACTTTCCCATTGCAATACGTCTTTTAATTTCCTGGCTACTGGTTTCTGCTATTCTTTAAAAATAGTTTCGCTGTGAAAGCTTTTGTAAGTCAAAATGCTATCATGTAGAGAAGTAATTTCACGTTGTCTTTTTGGCAGCTCACTGACAAACACTGAACACTAGTTTTCTTTCATATATATGAAATATATATATAAATATAAATATGTATATTTTATTTTTTAAAAAAGCACAAATCCTCTTGGCATTGCTTTCAGGAAAAAACCCAGGTCTGAATAGAGATCATTTGTAAAACACAGGTGGTCTTTGAAAAGGAGAGATGCCTGTATTCTCAGCAGCAGCAATTAATGTAAAATTTATATCCAGTAGTATACTCTGAAGGAGTCCTGCTGGTGCGGTGGATTAAGTATTGTTTCATGAACCAGAAGATCAGTGGTTCGAATTCACTGGCCTCTTTGTAGGAAGAATCTCTTAAGATTTATAGCCTTTAACCCTAAGGGAGCTTTGGTGGCCTAGTGGTAAGAAGGTACACTGTAATCCCAAAAGGCACACAGTTTGAATCCACCAGCTGCTCCATAGGAGAAAGATGGGCAAGCTCCTCCTGTGTGAAGTTGCTGCTTCTGAAGACCTGCTGGAGGGTCAGCAGCTATAAATTAGTTCTAACTTAACATCACACAGCACACATACAACCACCACCCCTCTTAGGGTCGCTCTGCTGCGTCCCACAGGCCTGCTGGGTGTAGAACTGGAGTTGAGGGCAGTTGCTTTGATTTTTTTTGTAAGTTTAAGAAGAGACCAGCAGAGGGCACCAGAGGCCAGGCTATATTTTCCTAGATGCCTAGGAATGCTCACTAAATAAACTTTCCTTCAGAATTCACGGCTGGGGGCTCCTGAAAACATACCTCTTTGCCACCTTCCCCCATCCCAAAGCATCTCTTTGGTTGCATCCAGGGCTGCAGTCGGCGAAGGCACCTGTCCCTGAAGCAGGGCCGTGTGACTGTCTGGCAGCCTGCCTGCAGTTCTCAGTGAACTTGGGTTCATAGTTGTGCAAACTCCGTAATGTGCTTCTGCTTCCTGGCTCCAGTTCACACGCAGAAATAGCTACAAGGGCCCTGTTTCTGTAAGAACCGTGTAGTAGAATGGAGGCCTCTCTTTGCTGCATTTTGATTTTTCAGATTGAACTATGAGACCATCCTTCTTGGGGTTTTGAGATTGAAATTTTCTCTTCTAGCTTTGTCCTGGGACTTTTCTCTGTCTCTAAGTTCTTTGTCAGCTGGAGGAACTGTGTTCTTCCTGGCATGTGCACTTGACCCTCTCTCTCTGACTTCTTGTGGTAGATAAACCTTACATTACTGGGGCAGGTTTGTGTATACGTGAAGAGGGATAAGTCAGGTAGGATGTTTTCAGACTCTGAAGACATGAGAAATGGCAAGTTCTTTTCTCTAGCTCCTTTTACAGATGCAGCCGTTTAAGTAAAGAGAGGTGGCCCTTGCACACTGAGAGGTGGCTGAGCTGGTGGTGTGGGGTCTTGGCCATTTGCCTGGGTGTACCTGTGAACACCTGGATGCTTACCTGTTAGCTCCCTGTTATCCTGGACGAGATAGGAACTTTGAGATGTTCTGGGAATGAACGTACAGCCTTCTAGAACCTGTTCTTCCCCAGTTCCTTTTTGCATCCAGTCTAGAAAATTGCTCTCAAATGAGAAAGTTTAAAGAGTATGATTTGTGAAGGTCAGATGGGGTCTTGAGGGAAGCCACAGGCACACATCAGGAGGAGATGGCTTGGAAGTCACAGCCACCTGAGTGCCCAGAGCCTTCACTCTGTGCCTGCTCCCACCTGGGTTCAAAGCCGATTCCCTTTTTACTGTCCCCTGACCCTCAGCAAATAATGTGAGCACCCAGTGCCCCAGTTTCCCACCTGTTAAGGTAATTGTGGTGGTAAGAGTCATCTGACCATGGCCAGAATTGAGATGGGCATCAGGAGACACGATGACTTCTTTTATTCCTCGTCTCCCTCACTGTCAGGGTCCTTGGTCTGGTTACTGCTGGGGGCAGGGATGAATGGATCCGCTGATCCAGTAGCAAAGCCAGACGTGCTTTCCACATGGGCTCCAGAGACCCAGGGTAGTGTTAGTCTGGGCAAAGAGGGCCAAAGAGAAGAATGAAGAATTCAGAACTCAAATGTTGATGGCCTTGCCTGCTTCAGATAAGAAGGCAAATGGCCTTGCCTGTCTGGCTAAACTAGCAGGTGGCTCGTAAATCAGAGTGGAATGTCCCTCCCTAAAGACTCTGTTTATAAAAATCCTCCCCAGTAAGTTCACAGTGTGACTTCCCATTCTGCCTCTCCAGGATGAGGAACTCACCGGGAGCTCCCCTTCCACCCCTGCCCCTCTTTAATAAAGCTGCATTAAGCTTTCTCTCATTCTCTCTGATTTCTTCTTTAAGTCCCCTAACCTAACCTAACCTAACCTAACCTAACCTAACCTAACCTAACCTAACCTAACCTAACCTAACAGGTAGGGACTTGGTTAGGACAGGAGGGAGCTTTCCCTGCCCCTCCGAGCACACAGCAGGGAAATGGGAAATTATTGGATACGAGAAGTGGAAGAATCTGTCACATCAGTGTTCCATGAGTGTCCTGAGCATCTAGCCACCCAAAAAGATGGTTCATGTGACCTAACCATGTTTCCTTTAGGACGATACAATGAGCCCTCATGCACAGCATCCCATTCTTTGTGATGGTTTACTGCTTCAAGGAAGATCCCAAGAAAAAGGATCATGAGGTCCCAGAGCTGAGCTTCTGAAGGCTCCCAAAGCCCCCAGCAGATGGCCTTCTGGAATCTTCTGCCAGCCTAGGCCTTCCCCAGTGTGCTGACCCCAACCCCAGGCACACAGAGCAGTCATGTCCTGTGACATGCTGAGAACACTGGGGTTCTGGAGGAAGTAAATGGAGTATCCTGGGTTCAGTGTTGGGATTTTGAAAACTTAGCTGATGCAGGTGACAGGCCAGCCTCAAAGCCACACAAACAAGGTCTCTTTCATACTATGATTTCAGGTTTGGATGCTGACAGGGGACAAGCTGGAGACAGCCACGTGCACCGCGAAGAATGCTCATCTGGTGACAAGGAACCAGGACATTCACATCTTCCGGCTGGTAGGCTACAGTGGGGTCTGTAGCAGGTGGTTTATGGGCCCCTGGGGACCTGGAGGGGCCCTGAAGAGAGGAGGGACACACACTGACTATCGCTCTCAGTTCGCCAGCTACTTAACAGCGACACCATGATAGGAGTAAGCACGACGGAGATGCACCCCTCCGGGAGAGGATCTGAGAGTCAATCCAGCTCATTTTATTGGGGCTGCACTGCACTTTCATACACAGTAATACTAGATAGGGTGGGTTTACAGATCTGGGACATCTGGACTGGTTAGGAGAACCTCAGTCTCATGCGTAGCAGCCATCTTCCCAGGGGGCAGGCTTTCTCAAGCCGGTACAGCCAAACACAAGGGAGCTTTATCTACCCGTATTAAAGGCCGTTGGGAGGCTTGCACTTATCTGGAGCTTAGGTGATCTGCCATGGCCAGAGGCCCTCCCTTCCTCCCCAACATCCCGCAACAACTGCCTACCCAGGGTGGGGGTGTACACTGTCCTCAGTCTGGGTGGGATTACTGATGGCCCAGGTTAGCGCTCAAGTACTCCTGGGGAGCGTGGCTTAGGAAGGGCTGTGGTGTCCTTGAGTGTCTGGCTTGGGGTGGCTCCCCCAGGGCCCTGCTGCTGTTTTCTCATGAGTGGGGGTGTTGCTGTGCCCCTGGCAGAGCTGAGGGGGATGGGAGAGGGGTCTGGGCAAAGTCCTGGTTCATCTCCAGCCTGGCCTGTTGCTCCGGCTGAAGCTGCCTGGGGGGAGGTGGAGGGCACACATGCTCCTCCTGTTCCCACAGTCACGGCAGACACGACTGAGCGTGGTTCTGCCTCTGGTGGGCTGGGGTCCTTGGCTCAGTGACCATGGGCTCCAGGAAGCTGTTGTTAGTTCAGTATCACCTTTCTGGTTCCCTCCAGGTGACCAACCGCGGGGAGGCTCACCTGGAGCTCAATGCCTTCCGGAGGAAACATGACTGTGCCCTGGTCATCTCGGGGGACTCCCTGGAGGTAGGTGCCGGATGTTGTAAGTGGGTCCTAGTGGGGAGGGGATCTGCGTGCTGGGGGCTGACCCTCTGTTTCTGCCCCTCCACCCTCCACCCAGGTTTGCCTCAAGTACTATGAGTACGAGTTCATGGAGCTGGCCTGCCAGTGTCCTGCTGTGGTCTGCTGCCGCTGCGCGCCCACCCAGAAGGCCCAGATCGTGCGTCTGCTCCAGGAGCGCACTGGAAAGCTCACCTGTGCAGTGGGTCGGTGTCGGGGTGGGGCTGGGACACTCACCTGTGCAGTGGGTTGGTGTGGGGGCGGGGCTGGGACATGCACCTGTGTAGTGGGTCGGTGTGGGGGTGGGGCTGGGACAATCACCTGTGCAGTGGGTCGGTGTGGGGGCGGGGCTGGGACACGCACCTGTGCATTGCGGTGGGGCTAGGATGCTCACCTGTGCAGTGGGTTGGTGTGGGGGCGGTGCTGGGACACACACCTGTGCAGGGTGGGGTCTGTGGGGAGAGGGGCTGGGACACGCACCTGTGCAGTGAGGGGGTAGGGCAGAGATGAGACATTCACCTGTGTAGTTAGGGGAATGAGGGCGGGGATGGGACACTCACCTGTGCATTGGGGTGGCGGCGGGGCTAGGATGCTCACCTGTGCAGTGAGTGGGTAGGTGTAGGGGAGGGGCTGGGAGACACACCTGTGCGGTGGGGGATGGGGACGACGCCCCTGTGTGGTAGGTGGGAGAGAGGTTTTCTTGTGTTATAGGTGGAGGGGGGCTGGCAGGCTCTCCTGTGTGGTAGTTGAGGTGGGGGGCAGGGACCCCTGACTGGTGCTGACCTGTTGACATACTCCTGACTCCCCTAAAGACAGTCACATTCTATGCAGGGTTGCCGGACTTGCCTGGACCACTTTACTCAGGGTGGAATTTTTTCCCCATACAGACATCGGCACCATTATTGTTATTATTGTTATTAGTTTAATATTTCTCCTGGGAAAAGGTGTGATTGGCACAGGACAGAGCGGAGTTTAGGGCTGTTGTACATAGGGTCGCTATGAGTCGCAGGTGACTCGACGGCACATAACAACAACAACAACCTGGGGAAAGGAGGTGGGCAGGTGAAGCCTCTCTCCTGTTTAGCTGGCACGTCCTATGCTACCAGCACAGGTGAGGCTGCAGCACACGAAGGGGACAGGCAGGTCCTGGGGAGTCGGACCTGAGTTTCCCCAGCTGGAGGTCCCGAGTGACCCCTGTCACGCATCTGTCTGCACCTTAGTGTCTTCCCTGGTGGCCTCGGATCATCATAGTGGGTGCTTCACATGGTGCCCCTGAGGCCAGCAGGGGAACAGTGTGTGACCACAGAGGACAGTTGCTGCTGAGTGAAGGCCACTACCAGGCATTGCTGGTGACAGTGACGTAGTGCCCTGCCACGAGGAGGCCGTGGGCACAGCCTCGCTCCACGGCCTTGGCACGTCATCCAGTCTCTGTGACTCGATTCCTCCGTCAGTAAGTGACCAGTTGCCCTCAGCAGGGCTGACTGATGGCGACCCCAGGGGTCACAGAATAGGGTTTGTTGGCTCTAATCTTCATAGAAGCAGATTGCCAGGCCTTTACAATAGGATCCTCCTGATTGCTTCTGAGGGAGCTCTGGTGGCCTCATGGTTAAGGAGTTGCACTGTCAATCCGAAGGCAGAAGGTTCAAATCTACCAGCTGCCCCCTTGGGAGAAGGACAGTTTGCAGCCTCTGAAAACCCACTGGAGGGTCGGCTCTGGGTTGGTTCTGACTTGATGGCTGTGAGTTGAGAGGTGAATAACCAATGAGTTGTTGGAGTGGTTAAGCAAAACCACGCAAGCAAGGCTTTTAGTCTTTTACTAAGTATTCGGTACGTGGCAAAATCGCTATTATTTAAAGGAAGGTTGAACCTGGAAGTTGAATTTCTTGCAAGGCTTTAAGCCAGTTCAGAATGGTTCTGTCATGGCTAGTGGGAACAAGAGGAGTGTACTTGTTGCATAGCAACCAAATCTCTTGTGCATCAGATTTTGACTGGGGCGGGCGGCACAGCAGTACCAACAGTGCCTGCGACCATCCTCCAGCGGGGCCACCGCCTGCAGAGTCCCACACGCAGGGGACGTGGTGGCAACACAGCAGCTGTATGTCGCCCTTACTTCTGCTGGCCGTCCCTGAACTTCTGAACTGGTTTGAAGCCCTGGTTTCTTGCCTCTCCTCCACTTCCTGACTTCCCTCTCTGCAACCCACAGGTGATGGAGGCAATGACGTCAGCATGATCCAGGAGTCTGACTGCGGCGTGGGGGTCGAAGGAAAGGTGAGCGCGCCCAAGGGGGTCTCAGTGGTCAGTGCTGTGGTGGCCAGTGTGGTGTCAGCCCGCCTGCTGCTCTGCTCTGCTCACTGGCGCTTCGTCACCTGTGTGCTTTTTCCTTTGAAGACATAGTTCTGACACTTCTGGAAATGCTAGATAAGAATCCTGGAACCACAAGTCTCTGGGTGCTACCCAGAAGTCACAGACTCAGATCACTAAATCATACTGATAGGCAAGAATACTGATTTTCCACCTCCCAAAATCCAAAGAAAAAGAAAAAGACCTTTTTCTGTCTTCAGGGCCCAGTGTGTGCACCTTAAGCATGTCCACAGGAGCCCGCTGGCGGCAGTCACGAGTTCGCTGTCTGGCCAGGTGCTGCTCTCTGTGTTGGGTTCACCCCTCACCGACGGCCTGCGCAGCACGCTTTTACACCCTGTGTGCTTGTCTGTCCCTCCACTTTGCCCAGTGAGTGCTTGCTTCTTAAAGTCTCTGCTGCCTCCTCTAATTTGCTGTATGTTCCTCCCTAGCCAGCCCCCCCCCCCAAAAAAAAAGCCGAGTTGCTGTTAGGTGCCATCAGTCAGTTTTGATTCATAATGACCCCAGGTGACTGAGTAGAACTGTTTGTAGGATTTTCTGTGCTGTTTTCTTTGCAGGAACAAACTATCAGCTTTTTCTCTCTCAGAGATAGATGGTGGATGGGCTTGAACTGCCAACCCTGGGGTTAACAGCTGAGAGCTTAACCCCTGTACCACCAGGGTTCTTCTGCTTTAACTTGTGACCTAAACGACCATGAGCAAGAAAACCCTCAAGTTATCAAACCCAGTAGACACCATGTGTCTTAGATAAGAGGACGGGCCCTGGGTGACAGCCTCGCCTTGGTGGCCAAGCTTCATGAATTAAGTCGATTCTTGTGCTTTTTTCCCTCCTCTTCTGTCCTTTTTAATTCTTTGGTTTTCAGGCAGATGACAGTGATTTGAAGTTGCAGACACATGTCCCTCGAGTGGCATGAGACGTTCTAGCAGAAGTCCATAGAGATGCCCTAATGCAGGGAACACATCTGAATTTGACGGAATACGATACAGACTCCTGTACAAACACGTCTGGAGGAATCAGGGTCACTCCTTAGAGCGAGGGTGGTGAGACCTCATCTCACATGCTGTGGGCATGTTGTCAGGAAGGGCCAGTCCTTGGAAAAGACACCATGCTGGGACTGGTGGAGAGAGTCAGAGAAAGAGAGGAAGACCCTCAACTGAGGCACTGCTGCAGAGACTGTAAGAGTGGGCTCAGCACAGCAGAGGGCGAGGAAGACACGGGGCTGGATTCAGAGCTGTTCTTGGCAGGGTTGTTAACGGGTCACAGTGAACTTGAGGACACACGACAACAGTAACATAGAGCCAAAACATTTCCCCCGCCATTAAAAAAACTGAATCCAGATGACTTTGATTTTTAATTTATAAAAGTAAAAAGTGCTCGTTGTAAAAAAAAAAAAAAACCAACCAAAAAAAACCAAAAACCCCAAAACAAAAAACCACCAAACCACCAAAACACCAAAAAACCAACTTGAAACACTTAGACATGGATCAAATGCATTTTATCTTTTAAAAGGCTGCATTTAGTTTATTAATGTGGACCATTTTTCTAGAATTTTGAAGTACACATATTATTTCCACATAGTTATAGGTATGTATACATTTGTGTAAAGGATAAAGTATACTTTCATGTGTGTTTTAAAATTAAACACGTGCTTTGTATGCCTGGAAGCAGGAGCGGCATCCACTTCCGAAATGGCTTGCCTCCGGAAACTCTATGTACGAACAGTGCTCAGGCCGTTCGTTCATAGGGTCGCTATGAGTCGTCTACGACTCGACGGCATTAAACAACAACAACAACAAACAATGTGTGTTATTATGTGTCTTGTATAAATCGATTATATTTTGTCTTTTTCTTTGCATTACAATGTGAGATCCATTACTTCTTATAAAACCAAACAACAGAAATATCAAAAAACCTCCCACTGCTGTTGTGTTGACCCCAACTCTGCTCTATAGGAATCAGAACTGGCAGAGGACTTCAGAATCCAAACCTGTCTGGAAGCAGATTCCTTGAGAGCAGCTAGTGGCTTTGAACCACTGACTCCCAATTACACTCTATCTCAATTGCCTGAGTTTTTATTTTTAAAAATATCAGCCCTTCAAAAAGTTGAAAGAGAACATCCTTTATTTTGACTTAGTAATTGTTAAAATTGACCCGGTTTCTTCTCCCTTCCCCCTTCTCTCTGCCTCTCTCATTCTGTATACAATCACATACACATACTTTTAGACCTTTTTTCCTCAATCATTTGGAGGGAAATTGCAGACATAATAAATACTTCGCTTTTGAATGCTTTGGCTTAAAATTCCTAAGCTCAGAAGCGCAGATTCTTTTACATAGAAACAAGAGCAACAAAATAGCCATTTTCACTCCCTTTCAAAAGGGAAATTGATGTAAATGTCCCACTGAACACTTGTTTGGAACTCTTTTCAGGCAGGAAGTGTATTTTTTTCATGACTGTCACAGTGTGTGGCATTGCATCAGGAGGCCCTGGTGTCATGTTGTCCCATGATTGGCATCTGTCTGTGTTGCGTTTTTTAGAGTTAGGATCCCCATGTATGGCTACACCCTGCTTTAATTCCTTGTCTCGGAATTCTACCCACACTTAGAGGAGCAAGTGCTCAAGGCCATCCACGCGGGAATGTTACATGTAATATTTCATAACATTTACTATTAACCCAAGACTCTTCTGCCCCCACCTCCACCTACTGTGATCACTATGTTACAAAACATTTATCTTTGAGTGATTCTTTACTTCTGATACAAATTATGGATTGAGCCTAACCCCCATGGTTCGGTTTGCTACTAGATACCCTTGACCTCTTAATTATAACTTTCTGTGCATCAGAATGGTTTTTATTTAAGGGAATTCCTCTTTGTAAATCAAATTTAAAGCTGGACCACCAACCTCATTAGAGCCTGAAACCCAAGAATCTCCTTTTTCGAGTTCTCTGAAGATCTCCTTACATTGTCTTGCTTTTTCAATTAGGAGAAATGTTTGCCCTGACCCCGCGCTTCTGACGATGCCCACTTGTTTCGTTGGTTTTTAGGAAGGGAAGCAGGCCTCGTTGGCCGCTGATTTCTCCATCACTCAGTTCAAGCACCTTGGCCGTTTACTGATGGTTCACGGGCGTAACAGTTACAAGCGCTCGGCTGCCCTCAGCCAGTTTGTCATCCACCGGAGCCTCTGCATCAGCACCATGCAGGTAGGTGCAGCTGGTACTGGGCTCAGGTGCACGTGACAGCACCATGCAGGTAGGTGCAGCTGGTACTGGGCTCAGGTGCACG